GATTCAAACCTCGCATAGTCTCGGCAGAGCCTCCACGACCCTCGGCAGACCACACATAAGAGCTGTACAAAACTCAACCATGAAATCACACATCTTGAGAAATAGCTTTATCGCAACTCATTGAAAAGATGTGAGATTGCATCTTTGCGATTTCCGAAGGTATTGCGTCCTTGCTGAGATTTGATAGATGGTTTTTACTTTTCGGTTCCTGAAAAAAAAGATGTATCATTTCGTGGTTGAATGTTCTCAGCTCTTCTCGGGGGCTGGCATGGTGTTCGACATCGCCTACCGACCCGCCTCGAAGAGGCCGCCCCTGCCGCTAGCTACCAGCTGCGCAAAGAGGACCGCGACGGACGCGCTGCGCGCGGCGCTGCGCGGGGAACAAGAGCACCAGCAGCAGGGGCAGCGGGGGCAGCCCCAGCTCGAGCGGCCGAAACCGAGCACCGCGCCCAGCTACCAGCCGAGCGCCGCGCCCAGCGACCAGCCCCAGCCCGAGCGCCCGAAGACAAGCACGGCGCCCAACGCCAAGCACGACATGCCGCCCGACACCGAGCCCGAGCCGGTCATCCTCCCCCTCCTCACCTCTACTCCTCTCTTTTCTTCTCCTGCTCCAGCTCATGCTGATGCTGTTGCCTTTCCTCCTTCGGTCGTTGCGGACGAGCTCTCGAGAAATTGATCAGCAAGAACCAGGTGGCGCTCCTGGCCCTGGAGAAGGGGCCTTCACCGCCACACCTCTTCAAGCCGTAGACAGTAGGGCAAGCCGCAGAAAGATGGAGGAGGAAGAGGAGGAGGGGCGCCAAGGAGAGGAGGGGGGGGAGAGAGAAAGAAAGGAGGGGAGAGGAACAGAGAGGAGGAAGAGGAGCGAAGGGAGGAGAGAGAACGAAGGACGAGGAGAGAAAACAGACAAACACAAACAAACGAAAGGGGCAGCAGCGACGGCAGGAGCAGGAGGAGCAGCAGCAGGAGCAGAAGGAGCAGCAGGAGGAGCAGCAGCAGCAGCAGGAACAGCGAAACAGACAGAAACAAACAAACGAAAGGGGCAGCAGCGACGGCAGGAGCAGGAGGGGCAGCAGCAGGAGCAGAAGGAGCAGCAGGAGGAGCAGCAGCAGCGGGAGCAGCAGGGGCAGCAGGAGGAGCAGCAGCAGCAGGAGCAGCAGGAGCAGCAGGAGGGGCAGCAGGCTCTGGTTCGCAGAAGACCCGTTCGCAGAGGCTCACTCGCAGAGGGCGAAAAAACAAAAGAAGACGATGCCTGCGCCATTCCGCCGCCCCTCAGAAGGAGTGTGCGCTTGCGACGATCGTGGAAGTTATAGTATCGACCAGGAGCTTTTTTGATGCTTTCAAAAAGGCAACAGAAGCTTTGGGGAGCTCTTGAAACCACCTTACAAGGCAAGTCTTGAAATAACATCTTATACTATAGCCTTTGAGGCCATATATGCCCCCTCGTGCGGGTCTCCTGGGGCACCAGCGAAGCTTCTGCAGCCGTCTTGGAGCTTTCGAGGGCAGTCTTGGAATCGTCCATTTTGCTTCCGTGCATATCATAATCATCAGTGTTCAACTATTCGATTCATGATTTGTTCTCATATGCGTATCTTCTTTGCTCCAATGCATATGTTGTGCTCTCATACCGTGGCCAGCCGGCTGAATGTGATTGCTTTGTTTTCTGGCTTCTGTCTTTCAAATGGCGAAGGGAGGCATATTTGAAGATGTTGGTAAATTTCATTCATGCAATGAACTATACAAGTATTACAAAGGAGACAAAAGTGATGCGGCCAGAACTGGGCGTGAATATCTCGATGACCTAATGGGCGAAAACCCAGGCGCCTTTCTGATAAATGTTGCTAGGCAATTGCCGCCCACAAACGATGGGGGCTTTTGTCGCCGAGCAGCAAATTTTTGGGTGGCGCTCTGGATGGACAGAGTACAAAGAAATACAAAGCAAGATATTTCAAACATTCGCGATGCCAAATCTGTTAGGAAGGTGCGGGATCACAAATTTGTTTTGTCTGAGTTGTATAGCAAAACAGGCAAGTTACAGAAGTGTGCAGTCACCAAAAGCAATGGAAAACAGCACGTGGTGTATCTCTTCAATGATGAACTTGTTTCAGATTCGCAATCCTCGTTTTCAGTGGGATGCAGCACCTAAAGCATTGCGCGAATATGTATGCGGACTCAATTTTAGAGAGTGGTGTGTGTCCTGGAGGATTAACGGTTATGTTTTGTATGATAGCCAGAGGACGTTCTTCGTCTCTGTCAAAATTACTACATGAACAAACAATCAAACAATGTTTTGGCGATGTTCGGATCAAAATTACAATTGTCAAAATGCGTTGCGTCATCTTAACTGCAGAGAATGAAAGCAAAGGGTTGCACATTGCAGAAGGTTCGACATCTGAAGTGAAACGTAGTGCTCTGCTTTGCAATGTCAATTTCGGGTACCGCACTGACTGGGTACGAGACTTCATGCGTGAATTCGACACAACGGAGAAGATATTTGTATTGTTCGCAGAATCGTTCAACAAACTTTCAACTGTTACAGGCATTGGTGCTTTCAGGGCAGTATATATTCTTCTTTGGCTGTTTATTGCATATGATATTGAGATCGAC